AATTTACTTGTCTCCGAATCTACTTGTCACTAGGCTAAACCATAAATTACCATTCCCGGTTCTGTATTTTATTTATTAATGCATTTATAATAATATATGGTTAATAAGGATCTATTTTAAGCTTACAAACAAATAAATTTTAGTTTTTAATATAGTACAGAAAAAAGTAATCTAAATTTACAAATGCATGTACTGTAAATACAGTACATATTTGTAAATGTATATATTTTAATATGATTTTATGTGCTTTAAATGCTTTTCTAGTGATATTACGACTTCAATATTTGTGGCGGACAGACGTAAAGTCGAACAAAATGACTTAAACTTGATTTTTATTTTTCCATATACTTTTTTGACAAATGATGTGTAATCGGGAACGACGTAAATTGAGGTATACCTGTATACGGTATATATAATATATACTTTTGCTTTCATCACATAAACTTAACTTAATGTTACTTTTTTTACACTTGGATTCTAGCTAATAGACCTAATGCTGGTTGGAGAAATACTAGTCACAATCTTTTCAGCTTATTCTTTTAGCACCTAATTTATTCCTGGTTATGGAATGAATATACTGTGAGATAAAAAAGGGTTTTTACTACTTTACCCAGAAAAAAGAAACGTGCAGTAGATGTTAAAAACACAATTTATTTCATGTGATAGAACCATGTACAGGATTGGTAACAGATGCCAACTCTATGATGGATACTTAGCAGTAATCCAAAACATAGTCATTGGCTAGATAACTACAAAATATTGCTATGTATACAAAGAACTCAAGATTACTTATTACCAAAAAATCTTATAACTAATCCTTAAAACTAACTCACACTAAAGAAAAATGGAAAAGATGATAGATGAGAAGAAAGAATAGAATAAAGAACCCCTGTTGTATGAACATATTTCTGCTGTCGTGAGGGGCTACGTGGAAACTTCCTTGGGCACAATTCGCACTTCTGTTCACCTTTCCTTAGTCCAAGATGGTTGCTATAAATTTTTAGTCCAAGTCGTCATTCATCCGTTCGAATACAAAACTCTTCAAGTTGAGATGCCAACTTTAACACTAACATTGGTCCAAGAATCAGGAGTCTCTCTTCCTCTAAACTGGCTTCACCTGTCTCTTGGGTACTCGACAACTCTTCCTATTCTCCCATTCATCCTCTCACTATGAGAACTAGCCAAAATGTGACTTTCTCTCCATGTGTCCCCTAAGGAAATTTTGCATTCATTCTTTTGATGATTCCAGGAAGTGGCCCTCACCTCCAAGGGGAAAGCATAATTAAGAAGATTATAAAGTTTTAGAAAGTGTAAAGAGCAAAGGAAATATGCTAAAGACCATGAACTAAACTTAAAATATAATATGGCATACAGCCACAATACAAAGTGTCCCATAAGTCTGAATCCATAGCAGTTATGTTGATCTTTATTCTTTTATAATATAAATGCTTTATCTGTAAAAACATAAATGAAGATCAGTGTAACTCTTATGGTTCCAGACTTATATGACACTTTATATAATTATAAACGTTTTATTCTATTAATCAAATATTAAATACTCTATAATTACTGAATTACACTGAATTTATAGAATAAAATTAAATTAATGATTGAAATTTCTTTCAGGCTAAAATACAGAAGCATCAAGCTTTTGAGGCAGAAGTAGCTGCACACAGCAATGCAATTGTTGTACTGGATAGTGCTGGAATGGAAATGATTAATCAGGGACATTATGCTTCAGAAACAATTCAAGTATTTATAAAATATTAAACATTCAGATATATCATAACAAATAATAATCAATTGACAATATAATCATTCTGTTTTTTCATTATTTCTAGCAACGATTAGATGAAATTCATAAATTATGGGAACTTTTATTGTCTCATCTATCAAATAAAGGCCTGAAATTGCAGCAAGCACTTATACTTTTACAATTTTTACGCCAGTGTGATGAAGTCATGTTTTGGATTAATGATAAAGTACAGTAAACAAAAATTTTTCAAATATTCTTATATTAAATTGAATTCAACATATAAATATAGGTCCTTTCGAAAAGAATTCTACTTTTTTAAATTATTATAATTATGTTAATTATTATCTTTTAAAATAGTAGAATTTATTTTGGAAGATCTGTATTTGAAGAATTCAACTGAATAGATAATAAATAAATTGATAATTAAGTAATATTACATAAATTTGAAAATTTAATATATTAAGAAACAAAAAAGTCTTTGAAATCTTATTAAGGCATATAAATGGCTTTATTTATTTTTTATATTATGTATAACTAAAATATATATTTATTAAAAATACAGGAAGCATTTGTAACAACAGATGAATTTAGTCAAGATTTAGAACATGTTGAAATGTTACAGCATAAATTTGATGAGTTTCAGAAAGTTAGTAATACTTTTATGTTTTAAAAAAACAAAAAGTTCTTAATTATTCTTCTGATTTAATAATCTGCTTTTTTATTTTTTATTGTTAGGATATGACAAGTCAAGAATTCAGGATAAATGAAGTCAATAAACATGCAGATAAGTTACTTGAAGATGGACATTCGGATGTAGAAACTATTTCAAAGAGAAGAGAGGTTTGAACATATATCATACATAAAATTTGCAATTTAAAAATGTTATTTTGGTTAAATAACAATAATTATTTTCAAATTTATTTTAATTTTAAGGAAGTGAATGATCGATGGCAACGATTAAAAGCATTAACCTTGTTGAAACAAGAACGACTGTTAGGTGCTCATGAGATACAAAGATTTAAAAGGTAATATGAAATCATAATTATTCAAATAGTAAAAGTAATTATATATATATTGTGATGGCTGATGGGGGAAAATGAGTTTAATAATAGAACAGGCAGGATAATAATCACATGGATGAAGAGATGATTAGAGATGAGTAATAAGTATGAATGCCAATCATATATGTAAGGATTGATCCATTGTTCCCAGACTCAACAAGACAAACAGAACAAGACAAGGACAACAGAATTGGTACAATAACTTTAATGTGCTCAGTAATATTATCTCAGTAGAGATAGACTTGAAACAGATGATAAACTAAAGGATTTCTTTTACAATTATGATAACGTGATATAAACAAAAATAATGTGACCATGTTTATTGATAATGTCCAAGTGGCTGGACAGTTGTCAAATCTGTCAAGAATAGTCCACATGAAAATCACAGTATTGCCAATCAAGTTCATTATTGAATCATTTTTATAAGTCCATGGTGATTCTTCATGATTACCTTGTTTATCTCTTGGCATGACCCTAGTACTGCCAAATTTCCATCCTTTCTTTCCTTTTTTCTTCGGTTTTTCTTTTTAGTCTTTAGTGCCATATTCCTTGCTTCTCCACGTGGAACCTTAATCCACTAGTTCCCAGAATCCTCACTGAGCAAGAAGGGGTGTCACAGTTAATACTAAGAGCATAACACATAATATAATATGTATATAACTTTCTTCAGTTTTTGAATGATTACTTACACTCATTACTTGATAAGAAATGTTACACAGAAGTTTAATATAATTTACAGAGATGCAGATGAAACAATAGCTTGGATGCTGGAAAAAGATGTTATGTTATCTTCAGATGATACTGGACGTGATTTGATTAGTGTTCAAGCATTGCAAAGAAGACACGAAGGTATTGAAAGAGATTTAGCAGCTCTTGAAGATAAGGTATGACGCAAATTATTATTTGTTTTATTTATTATTTATTGTTTTAATATATTATAATGAATTTTTTTTAATAATTGAATTTATTGATGCTGAATCATTTAGTGATTGATATTCAAAGATTATTTTAATATAGTTACAAATGATAGAACCATTTATTTCTTAATTATTGTTACTAGTTTTAACTAATTAAAGAATTTGATAATAGCATAAATGGATTGTCAGCCAATCACTGATGTTCATTTATATTCATTCGATCAAGCTTGTAAACATAGTTTTGAATAATCTGGTAAATTTCTGTGTGTATAGAATCAGCAAAGGGTTACGTTAGTTTAACAATAAACTTTCTTTTTAAAGAAATCATTCTAAAATTTTATTTTAAGTTTTTTTAATTTCAAATATATATTACTTTAGTATTTATTTCAATCTATATCTAATTATATTAAGAGTATTTTTCAAATAAGTTATTTGCTGTTTCATTATTTCAATAAAATCTTTCTAATCATTTCATTCTTGGCTTAAGTTTTTGTTATCCTATTATAGCACTTTATGTTTTAATGAGATTTTTCAGTGATTTTCTGCATAATTTTAACACTTATAATTATTGCCATTCTCTCCACACCACTGCTACTCTCTGACCAATACTACAAATTATCTTGTGTTTGGTATTATCTGATCATATCTAGTCTTTATACCATTAAAAAAAATAAAAGAAAAGCAATTTTACATTTTGAATTTGTATTTCTTCAGACATTATTTCTGTAGAAAATAATGAGCTCTACCAAATTAAATGTTAAATTCTTCTATTGTATATGCCTAAAAATGATTCTACACCTATTTTCTCTTTCGTAGTAATTATCATATTAAGAAACAATAATACTGTTTTATTTATTTTATAAAAAATATAGACAAAAAGAGTTAGGTTAAGTGGCAAGTAATATGGCAATAGAATGTTTACAAACAACTTTAAATCACGTAATTTTTCTGTGGTAATTTAATTATAGGTTCAAGATGCCTTGAGATAATAAAGGTCGAAAAACACTGCCTTAGAGTAATATTTGTAAAATTTACACTTAGTTTTATTAAATAAATTTTAAAAATGCTCCTGTAATTTTCAAATACATGTGCATGTGTTGTTAAAATATTAAATTCTTGTACACATAATATAAGTATGTTTGTATATACAGTACTTAAATGTAAAAATAAATATTTTAGAAAAACATTTATAACAAACAACATGATGTGTTGAACTTGAATTGAACTTTGATTTTTATTATTCATGAATACTTTACTAAATGACTAATTATTCATGAATAACTTTTATTTTTATTATAATTTTAGGTAATGATATTAGCACAAGAGACAGAGAGATTATGTAGTTTACATCCGGATCACGCAGATCAAATCCAATCGATCAATTCAGAAATTACTTCCAACTGGGATATGTTGAAAAAGAAAGTAAGATATTTATGATTAAATTAATATTAATCGTGAATTGTTTGTCTTATTGGTTATCTGTAATATTATTTTTTTATAATATAGGCTCAGGAACGTCGCCAGAGTTTAGATGATTCTCACTTGCTTCATCGCTTCCTTGCAGATTTCAGAGATCTTCTTTCTTGGATTCATGATATGAAAGGAATTATTTCGGCTGATGATTTAGCAAAAGATGTTGCAGGAGCAGAAGCTTTATTAGAACGTCATCAAGAACACAGAGTATATAATTTATTTTTTAAGTTTGTTAGTATTCTTTTATGTGAAGGACAATTTTAATTCTGATTTTTTCTTTTAATAGGGAGAAATAGATGCCCGCGAAGATAGTTTTCGAGCAACAGCTGAAACCGGAAAGATGTTATTGGATATGGATCATTATGCTATAGAAGAAGTGAAGGAAAAAGTAATGTTTTTGAATTTTTTAATATTTATACTGTTCTGTAGACACTAAGAGGGCCCTTTTTTTTAAACATATTGTGGTTCAGTCAAGTCCACAATGGGGCAGCTGGATGGTGAAGGCCATAGTAATTTTGAATATCTCATTCGAAAGATAATTCTTTTCATAGATAGTATGCAAAATTTCAGATTTTTCTATAAAGTGATTGAGAATACATAAGCAATTGAGTAGTGCAAAAATTGGCAAAACAGCTGTACTTTTTCTTCATCTGGCACTGCAGGCACTCCTAGAAAAAGAATTACTGGATCTAGAAAGCTGAAATTTAAAATATAAGTCTCTTTTGTTATCAATGAGGTGCTGGAGAAACTTACAGGTCAATAGGTCAAAGTTAACATGGGTTCTCCATAAAGCTATTTTACTTTAATTCAAAATTTATCTAGAATAACAAAACCTCAAATTTATGTGAATTAAAACTTTTTATAACGATTTTACTAAATGGGGAATTGAAAGCATTTGGTAATGGTGGTTGCCTAGTGCCAACCAAATTGTACCAAAATGTCATCTTAGGTCTCAACGTAATAACATAATCATTAACCAAAAAGCAATTGATATTGAATATACAATTGAGATGTAAAAAATTTTGACAGTTTAGAAGACAGTCAAATTTTTTTTTTTCTTTAGTAAAGATAAGCTTGACAGTTTAAAGTGAAATGTAAGAAAGAATAATAAAACCTTGTGGGTACTGTACCTCTTTGAAGCACCAAGTTTATCTATACCAAAGAAAAACCCCTAAGAAAAAAATTTGACTGTCTTCTAAATTGTCATAGTTTTACTGGTTGCAGTTTTTTACATCTCAGATGTTTCTGTTTGGATATCAATATTTTAGAAATTTTGTTTTCCTTTTAGCTTGTCTCATCCATCATTTGTTTTCTGCTGAGAGTCAAGAACTCTAGTTGAGTCAAAAATCTTGCTTCATCAGCTTGCAATCGCCTATGTGTACTAGCTATTGCTTACTCCCATTGGCGAATATAAAAATGTTTTAACTTGCTTCATGAGGTTACATACACTCATGTTTCTTCGATAGCTCTCTTCGCTTTGTTTCTTGCCTTTCACATCCAGTGTACATCACACTTAACACAAAATTTTTGAAAATAATTTATGAACTAAAGACAGAATAAAAGGAATTAAAAAGAATAAATATGCTAACATACAGTATAAAGGAAGAGATTAATAAACACACCAATAGAAATATCATAACTGTATAGAGACAGAGATAATACAAAATAACAAAAGATTCCTTTTATATTGTATAATGTGAGTAAAAGAAATAAATAGAAGTGTAAATTCAAGTCTTGCTATTATTTTAACATTTCTAAATTGAGATAAAGAAGTGTGAAATTATTTATTTATTTTAATTATATCAGTTAAATCTTTAGACTTGAGATTACTATTAAAAAATCGATGAATAATCCTTGAGATAAGATAACAAATAAATAAACAGTAATACAATAATAAATAGTAAAATTAAATTCAGTATCATAAAAATTTATTACATGACAAAGCAAATCTGAAAAAAATAATTGTCCTAAATTTTTAATATTACTAATAGATCAATAATAAAAAAACTGCTTATAAATAATCAGACAAAAACTCATTAATATGAAGCATGAACTGTTAGGATACATGTAAATCAACAAACAGTCTATTGAAAATTCTTAAAAAAACATAATACAATGAAAATTTTATACATTGTTCAAATTGATAAGAAATACATTGTAATAATAAATCTATGAAACTGCTTTATTGACATTCATTTTATTTTAATATATCCAAATATTTTCAGGCATTGTAGATTCATCTTTAGTGGAACATAAATACAAAATTTTTTTATGTATTTAAATTAAATACATAAAATTAGTTACAATGAATCAATTTATTAAATACAGACAGCAGTAGGAATCTCTACAGCTGTCTGTCCTTCGTTAATCACAAGAATGGAGTTTGATAGATGAAAATTGAGACCGGATATGGAAAGCTTAGGAACTGGACGCCCAAAACTTCCAGTCTGCACTAGAAGTCACACATGGTTTTTAAATTAAAATGTGATTAAAAATTGCAGTCCTGTATTATGATGATGATACAATAATATACAACTAAAGCTTAGTTAATTTTTCTATATGCTCCTCTGAAACTGGATCTGTGGATTGAAAACATTTGAGTTATTATTAATGTAATGTGAATTTGAGTAAAATAATTTTTTATATTTATCATTGATTTTTTTGTTTGTTTTTCGTTGGATACAATTTCAATGATTTTTGTCATTTTTTAAAATTGATATTGCTGATTTTTATATTCAAAAAATATTTATTAAGAATGGTCAAAAACAATAGTAAAAAATGAGGTTCAAGAAATCTTTAATATTACTTTTTAATCAAAAAACTTTAAAGTAATTTTATTGGAATCAAATATCATTATTAAGTAAGAATTAATTTTTCCTGTTTAAATTTCAGTTGGTTCTACTTGCGAGTGAAAAGCAGTCACTCATGATGCTTTGGGAAGAGAGACGTATTCTTTATGAACAGTGCATGGATTTACAACTTTTTTATCGAGATACGGATCAAGCTGACACATGGATGGCAAAACAAGAAGTAAGTTCGTAGTAAAATAAGTTTATGGGTGATGGTTTTGACTCAAGCAACAAAGTGAGTGATCAGAAATGTTCAAAAAGAGAAAAAGTAAATAAAAATAATTAGCCAAATACAATAAAGTCTCCAGCGATGATGTATACCATGCAGAAAATTGCAAGGACAAAAATAAAATTTTTATTTAACAGTAGTGTATACTACATGTCTCCAGGGCAGCCATTGAAAGGAAAGTAATTACAGGTAGCAGTTTAGAAGTTGCCATTTCGAACATTAAATATTGCTTCTCTTGTTTCATTTCTATTAACAATTACATAAACAACTATGGCTAAATATTTAATAATAATAATAATAATAATAATAATTTCCAGATTTGGACTATAGTTTGGCTAATTAGTAATTTTTTCTACTTTTTCTAAAGGAAGATAGATAGACTGTTATCATACACTAACATTTATTAATAATTACAACAAGTTTTGAAGTAAATTTAATAATTTTATTTAACTTTTATATAATAATTATTAAATTTAAAATAAAATAAATTCAAAATAATAATTAAAAATATTAAAACTAAAGATGATATTACCATTTTGCTTTATTACTTTCCCAGCTCTGTTATATATAACAGAGAGGAAGTATGGCAATCAGTCAAAAAATGATCCCCAAGGTTTTTACATTTTTGGACTTTGGGACCTTGAAACATCAAGAAATGCAAAAATATTGGGTTTTTTCTCCTGTATGTATTTATGTTAGTGTGTGTATTCATCCACTTTAAAGCTTAATAACTCCTATGCTTTTTGTCAAAAGATTTCTGAAATTTTGCAGGGCGATTGATGCTATTGATTTGTTCTCTGACTAGACCGAGGCCTACCACGTTAACACACACAATTAGTCGGCTTACAAAATATCTCTTTATTCAATAAGGGTTCCATGATCAACTACTGAGGGCTCATGTGTACTCTCAGAAAAAAATTCTCATTACACAGTCATGTGTCCCGAATACAAATATCCCTCGTCTCTTCACTCTTCTTCTCCCTTATTCGCGTAGCGTAACAAGGTTTGTACTAGTTTACAATAACACATAAAGAATTTTCATAACAGTCTACTCACTGGAAACCTGGCACTTAAACAATCAGGAATCGGACCAACAGCTATCGCATGTGGGGAAAATCTTCGATTCAGTCAATACCTTGGGTACTCTATCTTCCTTAATTGTTCTGTCCACACTATTCTTTCTGTGTATACCATGCTTGAAATTTGGTTCTATCTCCTCTTTCTCAATGTTTGAACGAATCTTCCTTCTCACTCCGGTCGGTTTCGAGTTTCCTCGATGGCACTGATCAAAAACCCTCACGAATGGAACTCCTCCACAGGAAAGAAAAAAAAAAAAGGTGTCTTCTCACACGTGGACCTGCTATTTATACTCTGGCTTGCTACCCTCACGTGACCTCTTGGGTAGCCAATCCATAGGTCTGGTTTCACACAAAGGAGGGAGGTACAAAGTAAGGAGGACACGTGTCCAAATGGATGACAAACACAAAGAAAACCCGATACAGTGTGACATAATAAACTTACGCTAAGTACAAAGAATATTAACTATACAAATAATATTCACATACATTACTAACAACAACCAATAAGTGGCAGAGCACTACACTATTAAATTTTGGTGGTTAAAGATCAAGGGGGTGGAGAGATAAATGGAGGTCAGACTTAATGGCAATTTTACTTATTATTAGCATTTATAATTTTTTATAAAACCTGCCCCTATCCTTAAAATTAAGCTTTTTGCCATTTTATAATAATTAATNTACTCAGGTACCTTTACAAATGAATCACATTTATTTTATATAAGATGGGTTTACACTTTCTCAAATTGGGTATCACTTTATCAAAGTTTGTGGTGAATCCCACTTGTCTCAAAAATGGTTCATAGGTGTTGATGGCCCTGGGGCTGTGTCTTGATTAAGTCTGGCGGATGAAGGATAATGTTGCACAAAATAAAGAGAGAGACATGAGTCACTTTGGACCATACAAAATGACAGAAATCCATGCTTTGTTCTTGAAATCTGGGTTATTTAAGGAATTTCATCCCGAATTTTCTTCTCCAATTTGTTTTGATTCCCTCTCATTGTTTCTTGATTGTTCTCCTTCCTTGTTTCCAGGTGAAAATAAGATTGGATCAGGTCATGAGAAAGGTCGATCTTAGGTTTTCAACTTGACATCATCCCTTGACTCTGATCTGGAAATGTTGATGGAACTTTGAAGCCTGTGTTTGTATTTTTGATCATTATATTCTCTATTCTGACATTTTGGAATGTTAACTGTCGAACACGATGTTTTCTTTCGTCAAACCTCCTTGTTTCCCGACTTAGTTTGACTTCAATCATTTGTATACGAGTGTCAGTGTCAAAGTTCAAACTCTTCGGCCTGACACTGATCTATTGCTTAACACATGTTGGAGTTTCTCTCGGAACTCACTTTGTTTACTTTTGTGTCACATTCATTTATTACAATTTTTTTCTTCTATTTTAAAATATTTTTATTTAATAGGCATTGGATGAATTTGCAACTAAATTGATTGAAGGACAGCATTATGCTGCTGATGATGTAGCACACAGAAGAGAAATGGTAATGCATTTAAATATTTGCTGAATAAAAAATTTGAATTTTGTTTAACTAGATAATGTAATTTGTTATGCATTTAAAATCTAATACATTAGTTATTGCTACTATCCTTTCAAGCTTTTAGAACGGCGAGGTAATTTGTTAGACAAATCGGCTTTTCGAAGAGCAATGTTAGAGGATTCATATCGATTTCAACACTTTGAGCGTGACTGTGATGAAACAAAAGGATGGATTAACGAAAAATTAAAATTGGCTACAGATGAAAGTTTTACAACAGTGAGTAACTAAATTAAATTATATCATATATTATTAATAATGCAATGATTTCTGATGTTCTGATTTTCAATTAGGATACAAGTAACATCAGTGGTAAACTCCAAAAGCATCAAAATTTTGAACAAGAACTTAATGCAAATAAAAACAGGATCGACGAAATAATTAGTACAGGACAAGAACTTACTGAAACACATCATTTTGCTTCGGAAAGAATCGGGTAATAAAAGAATTGTTTAATTTATAAAAAATGTTTTACGATATATCTATGTAAGAAAGTAATTTTATTTTAAAATTTTTAACAAAATTCAATATTCAAAGTAAAGTATGGTAAAAGTAGAAAATTTGCACTGCTTATTTCAGGCTTGTTTTGTTTTGAACAGTTTCTTTTCTATTTTTAAACTAAACCAGATATGTGTCACACACAGTTATATACATTTTTAGAGTAAAATTACTTTTACAAGAGTAAAAAGTTTTATTACAAGGCTTAATCGAATTAATCTAAAGTGAATTCTGCTAAAGGTGAAAGTATTTGAATTGAGAACTATCTGATTGCAAAACATTCTTATTGTTCCCAAGAATTTGTGCCAGATAATTGAATACTTTCTCAGATGTGATTCTTGTGAACTCAACCACAGCAAACAATCCACTTTGTGTATTCAAAACTAGTGTCCTCCACTGCTGTCATACATTCTAATTGCATACCAAATGATCATCTAAATAATTAGGCTATAACATTGCTAATTTAATAATTAATATTAAGTAATTTGCTACTAGAGGTAGATGTTAGGTGCCATCTTTTAGCTAAATTAATAATTATAATTTTTTAACAATTTATTAAACTGAAAAATTTGGTCTATTTGTCTATCTTTCCTTTAAACCCTTTGACTAGTCTGAACAATAGGTAAATCAGTGTAGGACTTGTAGGGATATAATACTTACATTAATTAATTTATGTATATATATCAAATTATAAAGTATTTTACATTTTATTGAAAAAACTCAATTCTTCAAAATTCAAGAATAGTCATTAAGCAGATGATGTGAATACTGTAATGTTTGAATAATACAATTTCTATATAATTTATATTCCAGGCATTCCTTGCAAACGACGATCTGGGTGACTCTTTAGATTCTGTTGAAGCTCTTATTAAGAAGCACGAAGATTTTGAGAAATCACTAGCTGCTCAGGAAGAAAAAATTAAGGTAAATCTTCAATTATATTAAAAAATGTAACTGTTTTTAAAAGATTTTTGTAAAACTATTTTCTTAAATGTATTTTAAAGTTATGATTTATGATTGAAAAGAGTTTCATTGATAGTTTCCTAACAAGTTTTTTTTATTGGGTATTGGGTACATTCCGGTATGCATTAAAAACAGCACATCAGTGAACCATTATTTACTAAGATGCATTCTAATATTCACCAACAAGTTTGTTGATGCAGCAACTGATGCACATTGTACTAATCAGGCTATGGATATGGTGATTTCTGATGAAGCATTATGTCTGCCTCCATCATTACATGATTAACACCATTTTTAGTATTTATCTGTATTAACTCAGAGTTTTTTTGACTAAATAAATCTGCAAATGCCAATGTAGTGCCTTTTGTTTTGTCATCTTGTGATGTTGCCAGGCATTCCAGTAAAAGCTTGTTAAATCAGTCACTGGTGCATCAGTTATGTGAGGTTTGCCGATCCAGAAAGGGGGAGCTAGTTAAATTTGCGTTAGGATGAATTAGAGGTTTAGAACTGCATGTGGGTAGTGGTGGACACACACTTACTCAGATACCTTTACAAATGAATCACATTTATTTTATATAAGATGGGTTTACACTTTCTCAAATTGGGTATCACTTTATCAAAGTTTGTGGTGAATCCCACTTGTCTCAAAAATGGTTCATAGGTGTTGATGGCCCTGGGGCTGTGTCTTGATTAAGTCTGGCGGATGAAGGATAATGTTGCACAAAATAAAGAGAGAGACATGAGTCACTTTGGACCATACAAAATGACAGAAATCCATGCTTTGTTCTTGAAATCTGGGTTATTTAAGGAATTTCATCCCGAATTTTCTTCTCCAATTTGTTTTGATTCCCTCTCATTGTTTCTTGATTGTTCTCCTTCCTTGTTTCCAGGTGAAAATAAGATTGGATCAGGTCATGAGAAAGGTCGATCTTAGGTTTTCAACTTGACATCATCCCTCGACTCTGATCTGGAAATGTTGATGGAACTTTGAAGCCTGTGTTTGTATTTTTGATCATTATATTCTCTATTCTGACATTTTGGAATGTTAACTGTCAAACACGATGTTTTCTTTCGTCAAACCTCCCTGTTTCCCGACTTAGTTTGACTTCAATCATTTGTATACGAGTGTCAGTGTCAAAGTTCAAACTCTTCGGCCTGACACTGATCTATTGCTTAACACATGTTGGAGTTTCTCTCGGAACTCACTTTGTTTACTTTTGTGTCACATTCATTTATTACAATTTTTTTCTTCTATTTTAAAATATTTTTATTTAATAGGCATTGGATGAATTTGCAACTAAATTGATTGAAGGACAGCATTATGCTGCTGATGATGTAGCACACAGAAGAGAAATGGTAATGCATTTAAATATTTGCTGAATAAAAAATTTGAATTTTGTTTAACTAGATAATGTAATTTGTTATGCATTTAAAATCTAATACATTAGTTATTGCTACTATCCTTTCAAGCTTTTAGAACGGCGAGGTAATTTGTTAGACAAATCGGCTTTTCGAAGAGCAATGTTAGAGGATTCATATCGATTTCAACACTTTGAGCGTGACTGTGATGAAACAAAAGGATGGATTAACGAAAAATTAANACACTACACTATTAAATTTTGGTGGTTAAAGATCAAGGGGGTGGAGAGATAAATGGAGGTCAGACTTAATGGCAATTTTACTTATTATTAGCATTTATAATTTTTTATAAAACCTGCCCCTATCCTTAAAATTAAGCTTTTTGCCATTTTATAATAATTAATAATATAAAAAGATTTTTTAATAAAATATTATAACAGATGGTGCCACACACAGTTTTAAATGTTGCTGAGAAAGTTACACAACTCATTGCTGGATTTTTAAAACATTGTAGAAATCTGTTTAACATTAATTAAACTAACATGTGTATAAAATTAAAATATTAAATAACTTTCAATTTACTCAAAATGTAGAAATTAAAACATGTATTGTCTATGTCAGATTATTACTTTTGTCTGGATAATAAATCCAGTTCAAAATTTAGTGTTTGTGCAGTTTTGCTACATTTTATCAGATCACAACAAATTCTGAAAAGACACAAAGACACTAGACAAAGCTGACAGTCTCAAAGCATGAGTCCCTACTTTTCTCCTTATGTAATTAACAACTGAACTTCAATAAGCAATAGTAAACAGCATGATCATTTCCAATGTTCAATTTTAGAAAGACATAATATATTGTCTTCTGCAGGTGCTGTTTGGATACAACTGCTTCCCACATATACAACCAAAGACTGATCACAGACAACTGCTTGTGGGAATAAAGCACCAACATTATACACTATATGTGACTTTTGACTTTTAANTACTAGCTTAAAAATATAAAAATATTTAATTTTTTTTATTATTTTATTTTACAGTTTTTTAACTGTAAAATCAAAAAACTCTATCATTAATTTGACATTTGAAAATTTTTATTCTTGCCTTAAAATATGAAATAAGGCAGTGAATCACATTAAGTAATCATTAAAGTTTATTTTGTTAGTTTTACTGGAATTTAGTTTTAATTAATTGTTTAGAATATAATTAAAAGTGATGGAATTATCTTTCATAGTCAGTTTTATAATGCTGGAAAGTTATAATAACAATAAGGGAGTGTTTATTAATTACACGTGCAGTTTTTGAGTTCATTTTGATTCCCTCCCTTCCTTTTGTATACACTGATGCACTTTTGGCAAAATCCCTCCCCTTTAATTATATATACGGTATTTCGTAGACTCCTGACATTGAAGAAATGACCCAAAAATGTACCAGAAATATTTTCTAACTAGTAGTTTATTGACATGACTGGTAAGTAAACTTATAAGAACAAATTCTTATGCCACTAAAAGCACTTGAGAAAGTCCATGTAGATAATGTTTGACTTGGTTGGATGACTGAATGGTTAAGTTGGCACTATTGCTATGGGGAATAGGATTTAATTTGATAGTAGTCTGCTTAGTGGATATGTTGGACCCCCCATCCACTCACCAATAGGCTACTCCATTGTTGGCCTGGCCAAATCCCTGATGGGTTTGCTAAAAAGAAGCCCTCTTAATGTCCACTGGGCAAAAAGAGTTATAAAAAAAGAGGGCCATTTAATAGTTTTAAATAATTTTATGTTGTAAAGAAATAGATTAATCAAATAATGAAATTTTGAAATTGTAGGATCGGATTGAAGGAATCGAAATTCAAGCAAATCAATTTTTGATGCAAGGCCATTTTGATTCGGAAGCAATTAAAAACAAATGCGATAAATTAGTCGAGCGATACAGTGCTTTAAAACAACCAATTGCAAATCGAAGAAAGAAACTAAACGGTGCTTTAAAATTACGTCAATTATATCAAGATATGGAAGACGAGGAAGCGTGGATATTGGAAAAAGAGCCAGTTGCTGCTTCAACAAATAGAGGTAGGGAGGAATAATTTGTTGTTCATTTTTTAATTTAATAATTAATAAACTCATTTTTTAATTATAGGAAGAGATTTATTTGGAGTGCAGAATTTAATCAAAAAACATCAAGCTGTATTAGCCGAAATAATTAATCATGAAAATCGCGTTCGTATGGTATGCCAGACTGGCAAAGAAATGATTTCGGAAGGTAAATATTAAAGTATATGTGTAATAAAGAATACCAAATTTAAAATGAAATATTTATTAAATTTTTATTTTTGTTAAATGCTGAATTAATTTATTGTATTTTAAATTTTATGTTGCCTCATGTATTGTTTGATTTATTGTGTTATATACTGTGTTATATATTGTGTGACAATTAAAATTGCATTTTAAGGATTATAAAGAACTTTAGAACATGATGTAATATAACAAAATAAACATTATGAAAACTTTTTAGCAGCATGGAAATACACTGTTTAATTAATTTTAATGTTTTCAATCATTTTAAATGATGATCCTCAGGCAACCAAACATTAATTATAATGGAATAAAACATATAAAATGATGAAACGAAGAAAAAAGTTCACAATTTTGTCATTTTATTCTGTTAATTAAAAAATACCTGGATGAAAAGTTTAATTAAAGTTCAAATAAAGAAAATACACAATATTATTTTCTAATTTAACTATTTTAAATCTTTTTAAATTTAATTTTTTAAAGTTATAACTGTTGCTAGTGGACTTTTATTGCAAACTCTCCATTAAGCATATAAAGGCCGACTGTGCCAGATAAAAATTATTGTTCCTGTGGCATGAAAATGGACAAGTTATGAAAATTTTGTGCTTTCTTTATGTGAATTTTAATTAAATTTTATTCTGTTGTATTGAACTGACCAAGGATAATCCAAGGAAAAGAACTGAAGATGTTTGCCTTAATTAAACAAACTGTTTATTTTATTGCTGATAAAATGATTTTATGATGTTTATTTGGTTATTTTTTATATGACAATTTATTATGATTTAACACTTTAATATATTATAACTTATTCCATAAATTCAGTAATAAATTAATACCTATGGATACTACAGAAGAAATATTATTGAATAGGTCATTTTGCTTCTGAAGAAATTGAAAAGAAAGTTCAGAAATTCATTGAAACTTGGAATCAATTTAAAGTAAGTTTTTAAATTACGAAAATTGTAGAACAAAGTTATATCTAAAAAAAATATGTTACATTTAGGACAAAGCTCTTCAAAGAAAGCAAGATTTAGAAGATTCGCTTCAAGCACATCAATATTTTGTAGATGCAAATGAAGCAGAATCTTGGATGAAAGAAAAAGAACCATTAGTAACTAGTCAAGAATTTGGTAAAGATGAAGATTCAACTGAAGTAAATGATTTTTAATGCGTAATATAATATTTTGTTCTAATAAACATTCAAATAATATCAAAGGATTGTTATAATTTATGTAGAGTTTATTGAAGAAACACGAAGCTCTTATGGCTGATTTAGAAGCTTTTGGTAATACAGTAGTGGCATTAGATTCTCAAGCAAAGTCTTGTAGGGTAAGTATATAAAGTTTAAAATAAAATTTTATTAAAAAAGGTTAAAGCGAAGTAAAAATATTAAAATTTATTTCTTACAAGTAAAACTTGGTACCATTTTTACCTGTTAAACACTTGAAACTGCTTATTTAAGAGACCAAAATTCTTTACTTTATTGAAAAAACATTTTAAATTTCTATCAAGTCATTCTCAGTTTCAATCTTTCTACAAACGTCTCAAAAGAATGAACTAAAACTATATTACATTTATTATAGAACATTTGTTTTGGAAAAGTGAGGCATTTAAAATTGGAAGTTTCGCTGTACTGTTCTATATCTTTGTTATACTTTAAATGCATAATGAACATATTTTGAATTTTTTAAAACCTAGTAATTATAAACAATGTACTGTTTATTCTAGCAACAAATCACCCCAATAGTTGATGACTCAGGTAAAGAATTTGTTATTGCTCTATATGACTACATAGAGAAAAGACCCAGAGAAGTATCAATGAAAAAAGATGATGTTCTTACACTTTTAAACAGTAATCATAAAGTAAGTTTTATGTATTGAATGTAATTAATTATAAGATCTTTTGTTATTGTTTTTTTATTTTTAAAGTATGATAAATAATAATAAATAACTGTAAAATGATTAAAAATTTTCTGTTATTAAGGATTGGTGGAAAGTAGAAATAAATGACAGGCAAGGTTTCGTGCCTTCGGCTTATGTCAAAAAACTTGAAGCGGGTGTATCTGAAAGTCAACAAAGTCTTACAGATTCTAATAGTATTTCGGCACGACAAGCTCAAATTGCCACACAATACAACAATCTAATGGAGAAAGGAAAGGAAAGAAAGAAAAAATTGGAAGATGGAGCTAAAGGATATCAATTAGTTCGAGAAGCTGCGGAATTAGCTCAGTGGTTGAAGGATAAAGTTAGGTGTTTAACGAAACTCGAAGTCTTTATTAATATGTCTTTAAAATTATTATATTTTTTTATGATTAATTTCTTTCAAATTTCAGGAACAAGTTGCTCAGATCAAAGATGTTGGAGAAGATCTTGAACATGTTGAAGTACTGCAGAAAAAGTTTGATGATTTCAATTCCGAATTAAAGGCAAACGAAGTTAGACTTGCCGAAATGAATGAAATTGCAACACAGCTGTGTAGTTTGGGACAACCCGAAGCAGCAGTTAAGATTCAAGCACAAGTAGAAGTAAGAAAATTAGAAAATTAATATTATTTATATTTAATAACAAGCATTATTAACTGATATTACATATGTACAGGATCTGAACACAAGATGGCAGAATCTTAATGATGTAACTGCAGAGAGAGCAATGCAGCTTAGCACAGCTCATGAGGTTCAGCGTTTTCACAGAGATGTTGATGAGACAAAAGATTGGATACACGAAAAAGACGAAGCTTTGAATAATAATGATTGCGGTCATGATTTGCAAAGCGTAAAAACATTACAAAGAAAACACGAAGGTTTGGAAAGGGATCTTGCAGCTTTAGCTGACAGAGTATGAAATAGTATTTTTTCTCATAATTTTAATTTTATAAATTATTGATATTATTCTGATGCCTTATTCTTTGATTTTAGATAAGGCAATTGGATGAAACTGCTAGTCGATTAATGCAAACTCATCCCGATTCAGCCGATACAATTTATGGTAAACAAAAGGAAATAAATGAAGAATGGTCCCAATTGATTGCTAAAGCCACAGCTAGAAAAGAAAAATTAATGGATTCTTATGATTTGCAGAAATTCTTATCAGACTTCAGGTAAATGTTTATATTTTAAAAAATATTTGATAAAAAATTGTACTGTATCAATATATTTATGATTAATTTGTGATTTACAGAAAATAGAGAACTTATGATATTGATAATGATTAAGTTTACAAATTAAGATTTCAAACATACAGTAATACCTTGAACTTACGTGATAGGTGGGACCGAGAGATAACCACGTAAGTTGAATTCGCATAAGTCAGGGTATAATTTCGTAATTTGTGTAAAATCCAAGACGGATGTATGTAAGCTAATAAATGTTCTCGTTAATCTTATCTCGTCTTTTGATTCGTTCACGGTTACAAGAAATCACCACATAGAGTCTCTCAAGTCTCCATAGATATAACAAACACAGAAATAAATAACACAAAATAAATTGTAGCTATGTGTCGATTCCGCACGACACATCCGAACATGTAAGCTGAACAATAGTGTGGGGGGAGTGAGTAATCAAGAGTTGCGTGGGGCTGAAACAAAAGACGAATCGACGAGATTTGAAAATTGCGTAACTCCGGGTTCGCATAAGTCGGGGTAGTGTAAGTCGAGGTATTACTGTATTTATACTTTTATAAAATGTTCACCATTAAAAGTTATAAGTTTAATTTTCAGTTTTAATGTTTCATATATTTTATTAAATTGAAAATAAATATAAATTGTTTATGGCAATAATTAGGAAATGTAAAATAATGTAACAATTAAGTAATATATAAATTACAATGCTATGCTATGTAAGTAAAAGTGGAGTTAGGGAATGAGTGTATGGTTTAGAAAGGAATATTGAGAATGCAGATTATGAAAATGTGATCATGTGTGGAATAATTAAACTAAGTTAAATGTTTGCAACATTTATATCTAATAACATTCTGTTAAAATTTGCCTTGGGTTGTATTCTGCAAGAATTTGCAAGGCCTCTTCATTCACTTACATTTGGGTAGCTTTGCCTGGGTGATTTTTGAGGCCAACATCCCAGATTGAAATTTTGCAAACCATCTAAAACACCTCTATCTATTCATAAGTCCATTCATAAACATCATTGATGCTCCTTGTATTCCGAGCTGCATCCAACCTCTATGAAACTCTTAAAACATCGAGTGGTAAATTTGTATTTTGACAAAACTCATAGTAGACTGAACTAAAATGAAATAACTATGCAACCAGGGTATAAAAAATGTGACACCTCTGTCCCTGCTTCCATTATATGCATTAAAAGTAAGGTGCACCAAGAAAAATAGATGTTTCATAGTCGAGAACCCAATATTCAACCTAATAAGAATTTCTTATAATCTGAAATTAATATTCGTTTATGGATTTCGTATTATTTGTTTAAAATTATGTTAATGTTTGTTGGGTAGTAAAATACAAAATATAGTTTCCTGTATTAACAGTTAGTATTGACAGGGAAACAAGATTTACAGGGGCATGCATACACTACAAAAGTAATTTAGTAATANAATTCAATCATTAACCAATTATAACAGTTATAAAGGATATATATTTTATTTGTAACCAGTAAGTTTCAATTTTAATTCTTCTTTCAGAGATTTAACAACGTGGATAATAAATATGAAAGCTTTGGTATCATCAGAAGAACTTGCTAATGATGTAACAGGAGCAGAAGCCTTATTAGAAAGACATCAGGTACTTTAGTATCATGATACAATTCATGTTTGATAATAAAAAGTTTCAATTAAGCTATTTTATAAATTTAATATTATTTTAAAATATATTTTTACGATTCCAAATATCCATTTATTTTTTAAAATTTAAAAATTTATATCATATACTTGGAATTTTTAACTTTGTTTCTTGATGTAGTAAACATGCAAACAAATGTGATTATTTTTCTATTATGTATAAGCGCTTGAATTATTGTTTTCCCATATCCATAGATTTTTCGGGAAATAATAAACTGAGGTTTTGCAGTATTTCAAAATTAGAATAAATTTTAAAATATTTTTAAATGTTTATAATAATATAAAATAATTAAAATATTTCAAAAATAAAAATTTCCATTTAGAAGTGATATATGAATATCATGAGTTAAATTTTGACTTTCTCAAGTGTGCAGGGTGTTCATAAAAGATTGTTAAGGTTTTAATCTTGTTAAATTTCTTTTAATGACATACAATAACAAACATTATATGAAATGAGCTACTCAACAAGAGCTCAAATCGTACCATAAGAGCTACTCAAAAAGTTTTTACTTCAGACATCACAAGGGCTTGATGTGGCTACTGTTCATAACGCAACACACCTACAGCAGATAGCCACATTCCTATCACACATTGGTCAGCATGTCTGGTATGATGGTTTCAACAAACATAACAATCTTACATCTCAATTCAGGCAAGCTGGCAGATAGCCATGACATATACACATGATCCATCTTTCAGCCTGCCTAACTTATAGTCAGTTCTGAAGACTGCAATTGCTATAATTGCTTGAAGTAGTTGATTATGAAGATTCTATTGACTCTATTTTATATTGTAAAATAATACACTACCACTAATAAAGTCAATGAGTCAAAATTTATTACTCTTACCCTTTATGGTGGATTAGATTAAAATCTAACATTCCAGTGTCCCTTGATTCAGAGGCATTCAGAGAGACTTCAACTGCAAGTAAGGCATGCAAGTGGGTCACTTTGCTGCAAGCAGCACAGATAAATTTTGATAAATTTATTGTATAAAATTACATTTATATACTTCTTATATATTTATTTTTTAAATACCTTGAAAAGTGCTGAAATTTTATTTTGCAAAAAGTGCAAGAACCCTGTATAATGAACTTTTAAATTTGTTTAATAAATTTAAAAATAAAAACAACTTTTTAAATAAATCTATTGAAGATTAATAGATATTAATATCAAATTCATTTTATTTCAGACTTACCGTTCAGAAATTGATGCTCACTACGGCATTCCTCAAGTGCGTATATCAGATTATTTGTTCTTATACATACGATTTATAATAATAAATATAAAGATAAGTAAAAAATCTTTTACAGGAAAATCGTGCAGATGTTGATGCAAGATCTGGAACATTCCAAGCATTTGAAATGTTCGGACAGCATTTATTACAGAGTGGTCATTATGCAAGTATAGAAGTACAGGAAAAGCTTGAAAAAATGAATGAGAGTAGACAAGAATTAGAGAAGTAAAATAATAATAATTTTGTTAACTAAATGTAAAATTTTAAAAATATTTATCACTATTATTATTCACTTTTTGGCTAGTTACTATTTATTTATTACTGTTTACATTCTTATTATTTTCAAAAATTGTTTTAGGGCTTGGATTGCTCGTAGAGTCAAACTCGATCAGTGTTTAGAATTGCAGTTTTTCTACCGCGATTGCGAACAAGCCGAAAACTGGATGGGTAATAGGGAAGCATTTTTGAGTTCGGATGAAACGGATGTTGAAACACTAATTAAAAAACATGAAGATTTTGACAAAGCTATTAATGCGCAAGTAATGAATAATTATAATTCCTTTCTTATATTTATATAAAACTGTAAAATCAGTTTTAATTTCAATATTATTTATCATCTAATAAAAATTTTTAATTTTTAAAACATTCTATTACAGGAGGAAAAGATTGCTACATTAGTATCAATGGCTGATCAATTAATATGCTCTGATCACTATTCCACAGATGATATCAATGATAAAAAACAACAAGTTTTAGACAGGTAAATATTAAAATTATACATTCCTTTCTACAATTAAAAGTTTTAATTACAATCTTAAATTTAATTAAATATTAGAAGAACTGATACTGAATATAGTTTGGAATTTCCGCATTATTTGAAAACTGCATGAACTCTTTGAACAGACTGTAATGTCTTTATGTAATGCACTTAAGAAACTGGATTGTTGATAGTGCAAGTGGTTTCTCTGATTGTGTAAACAATAAAAAAATTATTTTTATTTGCATTTTTCACATCAATACAATACAAATCTATTGTGTCCAGTACAATATAATAAGTATAGTCTCACCCTTTGTCCTAAACTCCAGTTTCACAAAACTCTTATATCTCAACATAGACATACAATTATATGACTGATAGAAAAAAGTGAATATGGGCCAGCTCAGATAGAGTTCAATGTTATAAAAATTTATTAGGGACTCATTGGTGATCATTTCCTTATAATTGTATATGTTTGGTTTCTTAAAGTGTACTCTATAGATGTTTAGAACATTCAGTCAGTCTTAATAGTAGGAGACAAAGATGAAACACTTCTCATTTCTAGTTGATATTGCTGTTCTCTTTTCCTTTAGTCTTTCATCTGGTCTCTTCGTGGAGCCATTTTTCCTTTTAGTCTGTTTTCTCTTCTCCTTGTTTTTTGTCTGATAGGTCTTAGCCTGCAAGATGTGCATTACAACCAACAGGAGAACAAAAAATGACACTTTAAATGGACCTACACTCTTATATAAGTAACAAGAGCAACTCCTAAGATGTTATCAATCCATCTCCACCCTTGTATAATCTAGCCTGCAGCGTGGAAAAAAGAAAACTTCTAGTATACAAAACAAAGAACAAAGTTGAAAAAGTTTATAATGGTAAGAAAATGATTAGGAAGCACCAGTGGTAGAATGATGCTACATCATATACTATTGGAATATCAAATCTGTATTTGTACGCAGGATCTTCATATATTTCCTGACTAATCATTTCCACAATATTATTACTTGTATTTTTATCGACAGGGAATCTTCTACTGTTGGGTAAACAAATGTAAATATTACTTATGAACAGTAGCATGAGGAATTTGATGACGTTATAAATAACAGTTAGTGATGCCATGAGCTGGATGCGCTTCTGCATCTAATATTACTCACAAATATTCTGTTAAATATTGAATTTTGAGTTTGATAAAACACAGTACGTGCTCCTCACTTAATGCTATCAACTTGAATTATCTTATTTGTTTTAATAGCAGACTAATTCAGAAAAAGGATTAATATTTCTAAATAACTTAGAACTAAACATTTTATTCAGAAGCCCTAATAAATATGTAACGATAAAAGATTTTAATAAATTGATGTTTGATAGTTAAAATTACTAATTTTTTTTTTTCATATATTTTGTCAGATGGAAACATTTAAAGCAAGGTTTAATTGAGAAACGTTCAAAACTCGGAGAATCTCAAACTCTGCAGCATTTCAGCAGAGATGCCGATGAAATTGAAAACTGGATTGCAGATAAATTACAAATGGCAATTGATGAATCTTATAAAGATCCAGCAAATATTCAGGTATGATAGTTTATTTAAAACTTTTGATTAGATATGTTTCTTCTAATACACTCTGTTGCAAAATAATTGACACACCTTAAAGCCAGTGTGCAAAAGTAATAAAATTTTGCACATGAAATGGAGTAGTAGAAAAAATAAACGATTCATTTCGGTATTAAATCACATGGATACATCATTAAAGAATGGTTTCATCACAAATTTTACAAATCAGGAAATGGCAATTAATGACTAAATGACCAATTTCAGAGATGGCTTTACAACTTAATAATATGCAACATTTATGATGAAACTATTCTTGATTGATGTATCCTTGTGCTACAATATCCAGGGATGTAGCCATATGCAATGAAATTTCCCAGAGTAATGATCTTTTACCCTCTTATTCTACTTCAAATTATATATCTGTAAAATATAAAGAAATTAAAATTAAAATTTGACATATGGATAGCCATGTATCAGTTGTTGGAAGAGCTGTTGAGTAAACAAAACAACACATTGTCAGTTTGTGCAGGGTTGTCATTTTATGTAAACAATCTGATCAGAGTACTATGGTGAGATCCTCTTAATGAGGCCCCACATCAAATGTAAACCTGCTGGAAAAGGGATGAGTCAAGTGATAGAAAGTATAGGAGAGTTTTCTCTAGCCTCAAAACAGACCAAAGATGCATTTTAGTATGATTGCCAGAATGAAGACAAGGGTGACATTAAATAAGAATTCTTGATGTCCACACTTTTTTATTCTATGTTCCATGTGTTAGGATTGGATTTTTTGTACCTTTATACAAGAGAGATTTTATAAGCATAACAATAAATTTGAATATTTGTATGATATTGCAAAGATTAAATACAAATTTTACAAAGATAATGAGTCTCGCAGAATAGTTTGCTTATTTTTTATTTTATTTTACTTGTTATTTTTCAATTAAAATATGTTAGATTTTTATCATTGAAAATCTTTTTTGAGACCAAAAGAGGTAATTACTTGCACTTTCTAGAGAAGGGGGTCTGGCCTGGGCCTGGCCAAATCCAGATAAAAGGCTCACAGGGCAGAAAAAATTAAAAAATGAAAAAAATAACAAAAAAAGATATTAAAATTAAATAGTAATTATTTATTTTAACAGTTCTGTAACTTTAATTTTAACAAATTACATCAGTTGTTAATTGTTGCTTTTTACAGAGTAAACATCAGAAACAACAAGCTTTCGAAGCTGAATTAGCTGCCAATGCCGAAAGAATACAATCCGTATTAGCAGCGGGACAAAATCTAATTGATAAAAAGCAATGTGCCGATTCTGAAGATGCCGTACAAGCAAGATTAAAAAGTATAACGGAACAATGGGTGTATCTTACCACAAAAACAACCGAGAAGAGTATAAAATTAAAAGAAGCAAACAAACAAAGATCTTTTAATGCTGCTGTAAAAGATATTGACTTTTGGCTGGGAGAGGTAAATAATATAATTTGATGATAATAGATAAATTAATTTAATTCCAAATTTTATTCAAATGACATTACTTTTTAGGTTGAATCTCTATTGAAATCTGAAGAAGCCGGAAAGGATTTGACTTCAGTTCAGAATTTAATTAAAAAACATCAGATGGTCGAAGCCGACATAACTACTCATGAGGATCACATTCGCGATATGAATAATTTAGCACAAAGTTTGGTCGATTCTGGTCAGTTTGATGCTCCGTCCATTCAAGAAAAATGCAATAATATAAACGAACGCTTTGAAAGAATTAAAACTCTAGCTGCCTACAGAAGAGCGCATTTGAATGATGCAAATACTCTACATCAATTTTTCCGTGATATCGCGGACGAAGAAACCTGGATTAAGTAAGCGAGGTTATTATTTATATATTTAATACCATTTTATATTAAATGATTAATTTTAATATAGAGAGAAGAAATTATTAGTGAGTTCTGATGATTACGGTCGAGAATTGATGGGAGTACAAAATTTACTCAAGAAACATTTACGTATTGAAACAGAATTGGGATCCCACGAACCAATTATTCAGGCCGTTCAAGAAACAGGACAACAACTGATGGCCGAATCAAAATTGGGAATACCTGAAATAGAACAAAGATTAGAAGCTCTCATGAATTCTTGGAGAGAATTGAAAAAGGTGAAGTTTTGATTTTAAGTTTGAAGTTAAGATTTAATAGAATTTTCTTTATGAAAATAATATATTATATTACACAAAAATTTAATTTTAGATTGCATCCGATCGTGGAAATAAATTAGAGGAATCTTTACTCTACCATCAATTTTTGGCTAAGGTAGAGGAAGAAGATGCCTGGATTTCAGAAAAACAACATTTATTATCTATAGAAGATTATGGAAGTACTATGGCAGCAGTACAGGTTTGTCCAATTTGATGCTACATTAAATGATTATGTTAACTCATCTTGTTTATACTGATATAATTATTTCTTAGATTGAGGATCTATTTGAGTATAAAATTAATAGGCTTTTTCTTCTTTTGTTTTGGAGATCCAGGGCTTTGGCAATTAAAAACTTATCAATTAGAAAATTAATTTATTGATAAAAAATTGAAAGTAATAGAAGTTAAATAATAACATCTGGTAGTAAGAAATATACAATAGAACCCCAATTATCTGAGCTAATGTGGACTGTTGCTAGCTTGGTGTAATGTATTGGCAATACCATTGCCTCATGGTTTGTACACATTGGCAAGACTATTGCCTCAGAGTTTATGGTTATATAAAACAGTTAACAAAGAGACCCGTCTTGCTTTGTCTGGCCAGTGTTCTATGTATGTATGAATGAAGTGCAATAAAGACGATTGTAAGGAGCCATGAACTTACAGACAGAGATGACAATTGTTGGTGACACACTGACAGTTACTGAAGAGAGAGGAGGTGTGCAGTTGGGATCTGGATACGAGTCATTTATCCCGCCTCAATAGTCATCACTTCTTTACCATTTACTCAGTACAGTTAAGGTTAAAAGACAAATTTAATTAAATTATTTGTCATCTAAAATATCAAATAATCTAAGAAATAAATAAAATCTTTTAAAATTATTAAATAATGATGCTCTAAAAGTTTAAATTTAAAATAGTTTTAATAAATGAATAATTTAAGATCATATTTATATTGTGGAATTATTAAAAATTATCTACCATGCAGGGTTTGTTAAAGAAGCATATAGCATTTGAAAGCGATTTTGCCGTTCATAAAGAAAGGTGTGCAGGTATCACTTCTGCTGGGGAACAACTAATTGCTGCAGGAAATCATCATTCAAAAGTAATTTCTCAAAGGTTGCAACAACTTCAAGACAGAATGAATAATATTGAAGAAAGCGCCATTATCCGTAAAGGGAAACTGTTGGATAATTCCGCTTATTTACAGTTTATGTGGAAAGCAGATGTTGTTGAAAGTTGGATAGGTTACTTCAATTTTATATTTTTGTTAATATTATATAATAAACTATAATTTATACAAATTTTTTATGCTGAAAATAGGATTTAGTTGTTAGAGAATAGTAAGTAAATAAATACAAGACAATATGTTTTCTTATTTTGATTTAGTTATCATAGCAAATATTAGATTGGAGATAAATTTATTTAAATTAATTTATAATTTATGATATAATTTATTCTTCTTTACTATTTTTTTTAAGATTTTTTAAGTTTATTTTATTGATTTTTATAGCTGATAAAGAAAACTGTGTTAATTCTGAAGATTTTGGTCGAGATTTAAGTTCTGTCCAAACTCTTCTAACGAAG